ACAGGAGGTCCTGGTAAGGAATAATGGAACTAACAAGCCATCATCAACCAGAAGAATTGAGGAAAAGTCAAAAGGAGACACCGCACGTCCAGTCAACCTCCCAGAATCCTTCTTGCTGGACTTCATATTGGTCAAGCAATGCACATACCACCAGGAAGGAACCCAAGTCAGAATGATTGGCCAGAGGCAACCCGGAAACTAATCCCATCCCCGTAAAACCTGCAATGGCGAACCACGCGTCAGAGCAGTCCTCCCGGGTTCCCTTACCCTGGTCTCCACGTGGGCCCCACCTTAGCAATAAACTCTCCAGCTTTCTCAGTGTCTCCTTGGACAGCTCATTTCCCAGTGTTAGACAAGAACCCACTCTCGGGTCCTGGAAGGGGTGCTCCTTCCTGCAACAATAGTGTTAATGGTCTTATCCACTCTTCTCTGTTGTTTTCCAGGGCTAGAATATGAAAAATATATTACATTGTATATCAATAGTTTTCATATATCAGATAGGTAAGTATGGATTTGCTACACAGGAGGCTTCCCGAGGGAGGGATGGGAATAGTTCACCATCTCTCTCCTTCTTTTGATGCTAGCTTCTGGCAAGGTATTTAAATCTGCAGAAGAATTCTCAAGTGGATTTACAGATTATATTATCTAAATTAAACCCTACAATACAGACAATTCATTTTTTCTAAATTCGGCTTGGAATTCAGAGATTGATAATAATATTACATTTTAAGCATGAATGACAAAGAGAATAGAAAAACTGACATGATCTACCTCCTACCCTTAATATTAGCTCTTTCTCAAGAATTCTTATTTGTGCAAAAATTCACTAATTAGATCTGAGGAGTTAGCCACAATTTTTCAAAATTATCCACCAGACACTTTACAACTATATTTTTCATGGTCAACTTTAAGGGTACAGGATGCCCCGAGTTATCAGTAGTATAAAAATATAATAATTTTATATTTAAAATTTAAAGATTTAAATTTTCAATTATTTTTCTCATCTTTTCCCCATGATTTAAAATTCTAAACTTTTTGCATGTTTTCTAAGGGTACATAGTATATTAGGACAGCAAGACTTACATAATTGAATTTTTAAACTTTTGAACAAATTATAGAAGTCCATGGATTGGGGCTTCTCTGCTGGTCCGGTGGTTAAGAACCCACCTGCCAATGCGGGGGACACAGGTTCAACCCCTAATCTGGGAGGAGCCCACATGCCATTGAGCAACTAAGCCCCCGTGCCACAGCTACGGAGCCTGTCATGTAAATCCATGGCTGATTCATGTCAATGTATGGCAAAAACCACCACAATATTGTAAAGTAATTAGCCTCCAACTAATAAAAATAAATGAAAACAACAACAACAACAACAAAAATAAATCCAAAGCAAAAAAATAAAAGAGAGAGAGAAGCCACTGCAATGAGAAGCCTGTGCACCGTAACAGGAGAGCAGCTCCCGGCCACCTCAGCTAGAGAAAGCCCGTGCTCAGCAGCCAAGACTCGGCACAGCCATAAATAAATAAATAAATTTTTTTAAAAAATCCATGGATTAATATATGTTATCAAAATACTTTGGAGATCACTTTTTAAGTGATAATGCTCAGACCTAAAAAGCAGTCAGCCCATTTCCTTAATTGATCTTTATTGCTATCCCTTTTTAATGGAAATGAATATCCCATTCTTTCTGAGTGCTCTCTTTTTTCCTTTCACCGTCCCATAGATATACTCAGGTACCATGGCTCATGGTTCTTTCCACAATAAGCACCCAGCGGATCTTTTAGAACGTGGTACTAAATCTAAGAATGTAAACAGTCAAAGGACTTCTGAGCTCCTGATGACACATCGGAGACAAAAAAATAAGGAGGCAAAGTTCTCCCAAATAAATATATTAGACAGAATAAAAGCAGGGATGAGGGAAAAAATAATCTGCTAGAGCAGAGTGAAAAATTAACATCATATATTAATGCATATGGTGGCTCAGATGGTAAAGCATCTGCCTGCAATGCAGGAGACCCGGGTTCGATCCCTGGGTCAGGAAGATCCGCTGGAGAAGGAAATGGCAACCCACTCCAGCATTCTTTCCTGAAAAATCCCATGGATGGAGAAGCCTGATAGGTTACAGTCCATGGGGTCACAAAGAGTTGGACACAACTAAGCAACTTCACTTTCACTTTTCCATGGAATGTAGAAAGATAGTACAGATGAGTCTGTTTGTGGGGCAGGAATTAGAGAACAGACAGAGGGACAGAGGAGGGCAAGGGGAGGGTGAGACAAATGGCGAGATTAAGTCTGACATATACGCACTTCCACGTGTAAAACAGCCAGCCAGTGGGAAGCTGCTGCATAACACAGGGAGCTCAGCTCAGCGCTCTGTGATGGCCTGCAGGGGTGGGGTGGAGAAGGTGGAAGGGGGGTGGGAGTCTCCAGAGGGAGGAGATATATATATATACATATAGCTGATTCATTTCATGGTACAGTAGAAACTAACACAACATTGGAAAGCAATTACACTCCAGTAAAAAAAAAATTAAGTCAATGCTTCACTCTAATAGAAAGAAGATGCAATTAATTGCAATAAAATACCACATATTTTTTAAAAAAGATTGTGATAAGTAAAAGAGGGAAACAAATACATTTTCTAATCTAAGGCATTTTACCATACAGAAAATTACCCTGATTTGTGGTTATATAGAGATACACATATCTATCCTGTTGTTAGATCACGTTATTGAAAATATGTTAACACAATGTGGCCAATCATTGTAAAACAAGCTATGTGACTGTGTAGCAATCTTATCCATTCATCTGCTTGGATTCATGGTTGGAAGATGAAAAATGAATTATATTACACACGCATGGTTTTCATGTTACCCCTCTGTTGCTCTTTAATCACATAACAATTGTCTTGTTAATGAATCTAAAAGCTATTAACATTAACACAGGCATCCTTTAGGCCAACGCTCTGCTTTGGGATGTCTGATTTCTTCCTTCTCTTCTGGGCAATCCCCTTAAGCTGATGCTTTATCCCCCATCCCAAGGAAGCAGCCTCTAGGGGGAGTTATTCCCTCTCCACCCCTACTCCCCAAAGGACGCTGAAAGTTAATGTTTGTCCAGTCTCCTACTAAGCTACAGATCCAAGCCTGCTGCAAGCTGGGTCTTTCATGCTTATTTAGGATTACTATTTAAGGACACTTAAAATTATTCTTCTCTAAAACTTTTCATATATTTATGTATTTTATTGGCCTTTTATTTTTAAGCCCCCTGTGCTGGGTCTTCATTGCTGCCTGGATTTTCTCTAGTTGTGGCAAGCAAGGGCTACTCTCTAGTTGCAACGTGCAGGCTTCTCATTGCGGTGGCATTTCCTGTGGGAGAGTACAGGCTCTAGGGAACATGGGCTTCGGTAGTTATGGCACACAGGCTCAGCTGCCCCGTAGCACATGGGAGCTTCTTGGACAAGGGATTGAACCCGTGTTCTTTGCATTGGCAGGTGGACTCTTAACCACTGGACCACCAGGGAAGTCCAAAAAGTTATTCTTGATACACCTACATCCAAATTTATCTTTCATTATTTTCCACTGCAGCTATCGCTCCTATCACTGTAAGGTGATTTTAGTCTCAGTCTCCGTAGACCATAAAAATATCCTAAGAGTCTGTAGCTAGGTGGGTAACTGCTATGGAAAATGAACAAGTGTATGATTTTGCTATTGTTCTGAAGAATATAAGGAAAATACTAGCCTACCCAGGTCCATATTCTAATACCTGCAAGACCGAAGGCTGTCGACTTTTTTTTATTATTTATTATTTATTAATATAAACTGTTAGCCCAGCTCTGTGCTTTGTAGACTGTCCTTGCTTTGTGGTGATGTTTGCCCTTATGCCTGGCAGAACAATAAGGCTCTAGACCTTCCTCTCTGTCAATGCTCCTGTCCTCACAGTCTCAAAAGCCAAGAGGCATAAAGAATTTTCACACTCTTTCTTTTTGATATTTGCAACAATCCTAAACTCTCCAATGCCTGATAATATTCTTTAGGGCCCCTTGTCATCTCAGAAAGAGATACAACTTACTTTATCCCAGGAAATAGGTAGTAGCCTATCAATTTTTACAAGAAACTAGCAATGAGCTAACTAATATTAATTACATCCCTTCTACCTGTCCACAATTCCCATCTCTCTCTTTTTTTTTTTTTGTCTTATGAATTTCTATTTTATTTTCTATCAAAGGAAGCTGTACAAATAAGCAATTCATGGGCCTGGAATGCATTTGTTTTATCAAAATACATGGATAATTCAAATTTCATTACAACTTTAGAGGATAAATTGATGAATCTGGCTACTGATCAAGAGTTGAAGATGACTTCTGAAAATACTTTTACTTTTTTCCAAAATGCTATCTGGCTGTGGAGGAACAGTTACTTAAGTGTACTTGTCACATATTCACGCTTACCTACTTTGGAAAACTGAAGCACAGGATGGATAAGAATAAGCCAGAATGTCTGAGACATTTTTGTTCACTGAGACAAATGGCAATAGGAAAGAAACTGAAGGCTGAGGCACTAGTCATAGGTTGAGTCTGTATCCAACAATAAGATTTAAAGGTTTTGATGTGTTTAAATAAGAACAGATGATTTTTCACAAAACCAAAAGATATTTCTCATGGTCTACTGTGGGTGTCATTTAACTTGCTTATGCTTCTGAAAGACACAGCATTTGTCGTTTAGAGGGTGATGAGTAAACCAGAAAAGCACAGATTGATCAGGTTTATAAGATTAAAATGGAGAAGCAGGAAGGACTTCCCCGGCGGTCCAGTGCTCCCAACATAGGGAGCCCAGGTTCAATCCCTGGTCAGGGAACTAGATCCTGTATGCCACAACTAAGACCTGTCACAGAGAAATAAATAAATAGCAAATAAATATTTTTTAAAGACTTTTTTTTTTAAATGGAGAAGTAGGAAGTTGAGAGAGAATGAAAGAGCAAGGAAAGCTAACAGTCTAACTTACTTGTAATAACAGATGTCGTAGCCTGTCCGTACCCAGGTGGGCCTGCCAAGAAGAGCGTCCTTCACGGAATACAGAGTCAGCTGCATCCCTACACACAAAAAAAGGCAGAGTTAATCCATGAGGGGGGGAAACGGAAAGGAGAGTTGTGGTAGGCTGAATAACAGCCCTCGAACGTACACAGATCTTGGGCCTTCCCTGGCAGTTCAGTAGTTAAGACTCTGAACTTCCAGTGCAGGGGGTACAAGCTTGATCCTGGGCTTCCCTGCTGTCTCAGACAATAAAGAATATGCTTGCAATGCATGAGACCAGGGTTCTATCCCTGAGTCAGAAAGATCCCCTGGAAAAGGAAATGGCAACCTACTCCAGTATTCTTGCCTGGAGAATTCCATGGACAGAGGAGCCTGACAGGCTAACCATATGGGTTTGCAAAGAGTCGGACATGACTGAGTGACCAACACTTTCGGGAGCTAAGATCTCTCATGCCACACTGTGTGGCCAAAAATAAATAAATAAATAAAATAAAATTAGGAATATCTGAAAAATAAAAAAGATACCTAGGTCTTAATCCTTGGAAGCTGTGTGTTAACCTTCTATGACAAAAGAGACTTTGTGGATATGATTAAATTAAGTATCTTGCGATGAGGAGATCCTGATTGTCCCTAAATTCAATCACACATGTCTTTCAAAGAGAGAGGCTGGGAGAGGTTTGAGTTTAGAGGAGAAGCAATGTGACTGAAGCAGAGAGATTTGAAGGTGCTCTGATGCTGAAGGTGGAGGAAGGGGCCATGAGCCAAGGAATGTGAGGAATACAGCTCTAAAAGCTGGAAAACAAAAATAAATAATCTGCTAGACTGTCCAGAGGAAGACTTCAACACCTTGACTTAAGCCCAGGGAAACTGATTTGGGACTTGTGGACTTTGGAACTGTAAAAGAATACATCTGTCTTCTTTAAAACCACAAAATATGAGACAATTTGTTAGAACAGCTACAGCAAGTGGATTCAAGAGTCAAGGATTCCCTTTTCTCTTTCTATACCAGCAAAAGTCTATTTCATCATTGCAAAACAGACACAATGTCCTATGCTCGAGCCTGGAGATGTGGGAATATTTTTTCTTTACTCAAAGCTGCTCAGTGCATTAATACATGAGCCAACAGTAACATGCAGAACTTCCAGTTTCCAGAAACATTCAAGATACATATGGGCTCCTAATCACTCTTTGTCCCTTGAATGTCTCCTCTAAAACTACCACAGGTGTTAGGGAGAATTTAAACGTTCTCCACTGTTTTCTGAGAGTGTAAATGAGCATTGTCCTGTTGAATTGTGCTCTTTGCCTGTCTGTCACAAACAGAGCAATGCGTGTGCTCCTGGGGGGTTCACGAGATGGAGAGAAGGAATAAGTGAGAGGGCTCACTGACTTCAAAAAGTTCAAGATGAGACAAGGAGGCAGGTAGTTATGAAAAGTTATGTGAGGTGTACAGTAAGTCCCCTACATATAAATGAATTCCGTTCCAAGAGAGCATTCCTAAGTCTAATTTGTTCATAAGTCCAATAAGTTAGCCTCGGTGCCCAACTACCATCATCAGTTATATAGTACGGTACTGTAATAGGTTTATGATACTTTGCACAGAAATTACACATAGCAAACACAAACCTTTTTTTTTTTTTTTTTAGATTTTAATCTCATAGAACAGTACCTTGAAAAATACAGGAGTACAGTACAACAACTGGCATTCAGGGACTGGCATCGAGTGAACAGGCAAGAAGAGTTACTGATGGAAGAGGGAGAGGAGGTGGGAGGTGGTATAACAGAAGGGTCATCAGCAATAGGGGATGGAGGGCAAGCTGCAATGTCACTCATGCCTGATATCGATGGCATAGGTTCTGATTCCTTGCTAGATTCAGCTCTATCTACTCTCTTGAAAAAAAAGGTTCAGTGATTTCTGGGTTGTAATGTACCAGCTACATCACCACTGTTTTACGCTTGCTTCCACACATCATGGGCTTGAGATAAAGATACTGTACTACTGTACTCTATACATTACTGGACAGTACACAAAAGAACAACTATTTATAGAGGATGCATGGGGGTGATGGTATACACCACACACATGAACTAACTTAAGTGATTGGATGTGCAAATGAATGTTCGCATCTTGGAAAGCTTGCAACTTGAAGGCTCATATGCAGGGGACTTCCTTTAGTTACATTGCAGGGCAGAGGGAGAGTTTCCCACTCCCCTCCCACAGTAGGAATTTGCTCTAGGTTGGCAGCTGTCTTGCCATATATGTTAACAAAAATGTACCATCCCAACTTCAAACCCTATGCAACCCAAGCTGAGCTTCTGATAATAATTCCAACACTCAAAGTGACATCATTTTTGGTGTTATTGTGAAAGTCTCTCTTCCCTGAGTGCACATACCGTAATTGAACTGGCTGTTGGGCTTCTCACAGTTGATGATGTTGAAGCGGTAGGGGATAGCAGCCCTCATACCGCTCACCTTGAAGTAGAACCACTGCTGGTGCTGCGTGCTATTCACATCAGCATTGACCAGTAAGTCATACTCAAACCTGCAAAGGCAGAAGCAAAACCAGTGGGTTAAAAGCCTTCAAGAGAACTTCCAACAATGAGAAGTCCACACAGCTCAGGTTCTGGATGACAGATCTAAGACTCAGGATCTCAGTTGGCTGGTAAGCTATAGTTATCATCCTTGTCTCACAATTTTGGACACAGGCTCTAGAAATTTAAGAAGAGGGAAGCAGTATCCTGGTATTAAAAGAGTCAGTTATACAATTAGAGCACATCTTTTCATTAAACAGTAAGGAAGCTTCAAATAGTCATATACAGATATGAGACTTGGACCATAAAGAAGGCTGAGTGCCAAAGAATTGATGCTTTTGAATTGTGGTGATGGAGAAGACTCTTGAGAGTCCCTTGGACTGCAAGGAATCAAACAAGTCAATCCTAAAGGAAGTCAACCATGAATGTTCATTGGAAGGACTGATGCTGAAGCTGAAGCTCTAATACTTTGACTACCTGATGCGAAGAGTTGACCCATTGGAAAAGACCCTGATGCTGGGAAAGACTGAAGGCAAAAGTAGAAGAGGGTGGCAGAGGATGGGATGGTTAGATAGCATCACCAACCCTACAGACATGAATTTGAGCAAATTCTGGGAGATAGTGGAGGACTGAGGAGCCTAGCGTGCTGCAGTCCATGGGGTCACAAAGACCCAGACATGACTTAGCAACTGAATGACGACAATAACAATGAAGTGTCTATCCAGGTCGAAAAATGTAAGTGTGCTATATTCCAGAGAAAATTGTGGTCACATCTGGTTGGATATGCCATTACTATCTGATGCTAGACATGACTTTTGAGAATCAGTCTCCTCATACGAAAATTAGAAATAGTGACTAAACTTGCAGTACTATTTGTAAAGATTAAGTAGAATAGCATATGTAAATCCCCATCAGGGCAACAAACATGAATTACACTAGCAAGGAAGGATTTATCTCTTTGTCCCCCCCCCCCCACTTTTTAATTGATTTGGTTTACATGCACTAAAGTATACAAATCTTAAATGTACAACTCAATGAGTTTAAACAAATTCATCTGGACACACCTGTCTGACGGTTCACTGGATCAATATATAGAACAGTTCCTGCACACCAGAAAGTCCTTATGTGTCTCCACTCTGGCACCATGTCTCCAGAAAATTATTTTTTGAGCTTTAGCAACAAAATTGGTAATGCAGTTTTGACTTAACATTATCATCAGGATACTTTGTTTTCAAAAAAGTCTTATCCCAGCCTCTTGACACACTCTTTTTCATAAAACTGAACTTTATTCTAAGATTAAGTCACTATAGGGGGAGGACTTGAATCAGATTTTTTTTTTCTTTCAAGCACCCAGTCTTGTTCAGCAAGTAATCAAAGTCAGTATCACCAACAGTAAAACAAAATAACATTGTGTCCTTGCCATTTTATGACATCAGGAAAAGGCAATGTAAAATCATCACCAATGTAAAATTGTTGCCAAAATAAATGTTTCTCTAGAATCTAATCATGAAGCAGGAAACAGATTCTGGTTGTGGGTTGTTCTACAATAATCCACTCTGAATTTTCTAAAATGTCAGTGTCAGTGTTATGAAAGGCCATAAAAAGATGATAAAGTGAATAGTTCCAGATTAATGTGTGTGCAAAGTATGTGGTCTTTGAGAGAGTTCTGGAATTTAAAAAAAAAAAAAAGCCATAAAGATATTTGTGACAGTTGGGGAAGTTTCTGTATAGCCACTATCATTACATGATCTTTGAGTTGCACGTGGGATCTTCCCAGACCAGGGATCAAACCCACAGTTCCTGCATTGGCAGGAGGATTCTTAATCACCAGACCACCTGGGAAGTCAAAGTCTCCACTTTCTTGACATCCGCTAATGAGTTCCCTGGTGGTGTGCTGGTAAACATTTAACAATCAACTCTTAGGAAAATAAAAAATTTCACATGCTGGCCGGTCTGTATATTGTAAATGGTCCCACCATAACAGATTTCAAACTATCGATGTGAGGTCCCTGAAAACAGAGGACGGGACAGATAGTCACAAAATGCTGGCTTGAGCTGCCAGTACCTACCCCTGTAGCCTTCCTTACTTACTGACGCACATGGATGGCTTTGCGAAGATTTCCTGACTCAAACGCGGAGAAGAACTGCAAGCAGTCAGAAGCAGTATCTTGCAAAGGCCTGAAATGAATTAAAGAACCTGTTATTATAGGAGTGACTGCTATTCTTAGACACAGTTTGACATTTCTTAGAGATAAGTTTTATCTTACAGATCTTTAACACGAATTTTCACCATGTTGTTTTTAGGAGAAGGAATGGAATACTAACTTAAATTATTCTTATTCACATGCTGTTAAAAGGTTTCTCAATATGCCCACCACCCCTCACCCTCACTCCACTGATGTTCAGGACCACCTACCAAGGCTCATCTAAACTGAAGACAACCTTATTTATAATATCACTTGGCTGGATGAGTCTCCGGACATCCTCAAGTATCTTGATCCTGGAAAGGAAAATTGGAAACATTTTAAGGGTTGGCCCTCACTCCTTACCCCATTCATCCTGTGTCATGTGGAAAGCACTTTGGGAGTCATCAGTGAATTATGAAAAAAAAAATGCAATAATACCCCAACATGATCTGAATGAGTACAAAATAAAAGTATGCCTCCTTCCTTTTCCTCATTATCAAACAATAAAACTGAACTGAGCAGGAGAAATGTACGAAGCAGTGATGCCAGATTGTAGTTTTAGGAGAACTGTCTACTTGAAGGAGTTTTGTCAAGAGCATTCAGGCTGGAGGACTCTGAGAGCTTCTGGCTGTGGGAATAAGAGGGTCCTTTGCACTAAGACAGGAGACATCAGGGTTGCTGACTGTTAGCCTCTGCAAGGTCTGAGAGGTGCCAGTAAGACTTAAACTTTTGTGTCATTTATGCTCCAAAAGATTATGCCTAAGAAACATTTTTTGTCTAAGAAACAGCAAAGTGTGCTTAGTCAAATCTGACTTTGCAGCCCCGTGGACTGCAGCCTGCCAGGCTCCTCCATCCACAGAAGTCTCCAGGCAAAAGTACTGAAGTAGGTTGCCATTTCCTCCTCCAGGGGATCTTCCCGACCCAGGGATAAAACCCACGTCTCCTGTGTCCCCTATATTGGCAGATGGATTCTTTACCACTGTGCCACCTGAGAAGCCCAAGAAACAGCAATATCCGGGAGATTGAAGTATGAGAGAGGAAGGATACCTGAGGATCTTTCAGATTCCCTCCCTAAAAAAAAAAAAAAAAAAAGATTCCCTCCCTAAATTTCCATTCCATGTCTCTGTAGTAGGGAGGGGTAGGAGAAGAGGAAGGATAGGTCAACAAGAGACTCAAATTCAGGGGAAAATGTCCTGTCCAGGGGAGTGTGTAGGTGAGCCAGCCCCTGAGGTGAGTCTCTCAGGAAATAGAGCATTAAGATAAGGTCAGAGGCATGAGGTCAGAAATGTCAGAGGTCAGAGATGTCAGCCAAAAGACCAAGTAGGAGCACTTTTTTCTTGGCGTCCACCATCAATTTGCTGATGAACTTGAATATAAGTTAATAAAACTTACTGCTATGCACACTTTACTGCATAGACTTAATGCATAATTTTTTATGCTCATTTTTTCCCCATGAAGATAGGTTTTTCCCCCCTTGGCTTTAGTGATTTTCTTTTTAATCTCACTAGGCCATTCCCAAGGCAAAGCTCCCTTCCATGCATGCTGGGAATAATCCATCACCCAAAATTTCTTCCCTGGAAGATGCATTTTTTCCTTACAATCCTCAGTGATGCAGCCAAACTATTCCCCAAGCCAAGTCAGGTTCTGTAAGGTTGGGACTGTCGCATGGAGGTCTACTAACTCCTCACCTCAAGAGATCAGACTCCAATTTGCAGTGAATGAGAAAAGTGATCCCAAATAATCCACACTAGNATATTGCTTCTGTTTTTATGCTTTAGTGTTTTGGCATGCAGGAGCTTAGCTCCCAGACCAGGGATCGAATCAGCACCCCCTGCACTGAAGGGTGAAGTCCTAAGCACTGGACCATCAAGGAAGCTTGACTTTTGGTTTTCAGACGCTCCTGACTAATGTTCACTTTCCTGAAGATAACAGAATTATCTGCCCCAACCATTCCACCTACAAAAATATTTACTAAAGAAGAAAAAAAAAAAAAACACATAGCTCCCAAGTTAGTAACACCATCACCTTTGGACTCCACATTTACGTTGCAACATAGGCTGGGCAGAGAGAGGTGGACAATGTCCCCAGAAATCAGGAAATGCCATCCTGGTGAAGTCAGCCACAGATCTGGTTATCCCGGCTTTGGCCATATAAAGATAGGGGTCATGGAAGACCACAGGCTTCAGATGTGTCTGCAGGAGCTGATCTATGAATTTGGCAGTTTCTCTAGTCTTAGCAGAATTGGAAAAGGAAGCACTTATCCTTGGGCAGGAAATTGCATCCATGTCCCAAGCATCCTCTTGGAAGGATGCCTGAATGCTTGAGACATCACTTCCAGAAGAACCTATCCCAGGACCATTAGAGTGTACATTTTGGTATGAAATCATTCCAGGTCCTCGTTTGGAAGTTAGATGTATGTTGGACCTCCCCATCTTCACCCTGCTCAGAAGAGAGGTTTGGACTGGGACTTCTTTTTCTTGTCCCCCGGAGATTTGGTCCTTATTCAAGCAAAGCCCCTTTGGGGAGGCAGCAGTCGGAATGTGACGGTGATTGGCATACTCAGTCTCATCAGAATTCAGATCATCTCCAGGCTTGGACTCCAGTTCCTTCAGGTTAAAAGGGGAAAGGAATATGTCATTGTTTCCTTCCAACAGAGAATGCAATCCGATCCCTGTCCTTACTCTCTGGGCACAGAGCTAAGCATAAATCCTGTCAACTGGAAAGCTTTCTCCAAGGTCAGTCAACGAAAGTCTAAGCTTCAAGAGTGAAAGAAATGGTAGAATCCTAGCAACTCGCATTTGGAAGGGGCATTCAGTGGGTCTAGCACAGTTCTACATGAATGCCTCCCGAGACACCTCAAGCATTTACAGTCTAGGCAAACAACTCACTTACAGAAGCTTCCTTGCATCCTGAGCTGCTTCTTTGCATTTGTGGGTGATTTTGATTGTTTTTAAGATATTCTCTTTTACATGTAATTAAAATTTCCTTCCCTGAAACTTTTACCCACTGATCCCCTTCTGCTTTCTAGAGCAAAATATAGTATGTTAACTCTCTTCTATAAGTGGCTTAGCTTATACTCTTAGAAGTGGCTAAATTCATGCTTTATTAAGAATCATAAGAAAAGAATGGAGGTCCAAAAGTAGGTCTAAAATTTGGGTGGGAGCAGCAGTAGCAACAGTAACTAGTCACTGAACTGACATCACTAGGTATAAGGTTCTTGATTTGTATCCACTAACAAAGAAACCCTAGAATCAGGCTGGTCACCTTCAGAAAGCCAAGGAGTACAACCTTTCCATTTTGACAAGGGGAAAATTAAATCACCAAGATTTTCACTTGCTTATCAGTGTGTGGGGCTAGACACCTTGCACACCAGGCAACAGGCTGCAACGTGAGCCTCCGTCCTACTTCCTTCCTAGGTGCCGGGGTCACACTGTAGAACCCTTGCATGCATTGTGGCTCTGCCATCTTCTCACATTTTTGTTTAGCCTTACGCTTCTTTTCAGAAAGACCCCAGAAGCAGATTGCTAAAGATGAGTGATGCTTTCCTTGTGGAAACCTGTCTAGCGTCCCAGCGCGTGCAAAGAATCCATTGCAAAGAACAAAGGAGCAGAACCACAGCTGACATTCTACCTCAAAGCTGCAGGAAAGCTCAAGACACATCGCCTTGTATTGCATTAGTTCTTCTTCAGGTCGGTCAAGACCAGGTTTGGAGCTCAGCTTGTTCACATCTGTTTCCAAGTCATCATCCTGCAATGGAATATTCAAAACATATGTTACCAACAGGCATGTGTTTACTCAAAACGTATGCCATCCTGAGAAATATCGAGACAAGCTACAGATGTGATTCTTCAGAATCATGGGCACAGTTCTCTAGCCTCCAAATTATAGGGCTAGCCTAGTCAAGGATAATTTAATATGCAAGATTGTATTTCTTAAATAAAAAGAAAGAAGATAATTTTTCTCAGCATTCATGTCAGTATTTATCAACATTCATCACAAATAAATAATTTATGCAAAATGAGATGAACTGGGTAAACAATATAAAAGAATTGCTTTTATCTCATCACCACTTTCTTCAACATAATTGTAATTGTAATATTTATTCATCTATCTACCGATTTAAATAATTCTTTTTGCAAACATTTAATGAGAACCAACTATGAAAGGGTACTAGCCTAGGTACTGAGGCCCAGAGATAAGGGAACAGACCAAAGTCCATGATTCCATAGAACTTGCCTCCTAGTGAGAGAAGGAAGACAGGAATTAAGAAAGCAAATGCATGAACAAGGTGACTTCAAAAAGTGATAAATGTCATGAGAAGAATGAAAGGGAGTAGAGTGATTATGAGTGAGGCGGGGGTACAAGAAGCTGAGGAAGTCACATTTTAACTAGACCTAAATGATAATGAGGGCTAACTNCATCTGGTGTGAAGAGTGTTCGGTAACCCATGAGTTTCAGGCTAACTAGGTGACCTACTTAGCATTAGAGCCGAAGTTAGTAATCTATGGATTTCCCAGGTGGTGCTAGTGGTAAAGAACCCGCCTGCCAGTGCCAGAGATAGGAGAGACGCAGGTTCAATTCCCTGAGACAGGAAGATCCCCTGGAAAAGGGTGCAGGAACCAACTCCAGCATTCTTGCCTGGAGAATCCCATGGACAGAGGAGCCTGGCGGGCTATGGTACACAGGGTCACAAAGACTTGGACATGACTGATGACCCACTGCTTCTTTGTGTAAATAAAGTTTTATCATAACACAACCATGCCCAGTCATTTATATATTGTCTATGATATGATATGATATTTCTTAGTGTAATATAAAGTGAAGGACTTGTAAGAGACCATTACTTTTAAAAAAAATATTTATTTATTCATTTATTTCTTTGGCTGTACCAGCTCTTAGTTGCAGCATGTGGGATCTAGTTTCCTGATCAACCAAGGATCAAACCTTGGCCCACTGCATTTGGAACTCGGAGTCTTAGCTACTGGATCACCAGAGAATTCCCCCAGAGATCACTTCTGGTCTTTAAAGATTGAATCTTGGCCTCTGAATCTCCAGGCATTCAGGCAAGTTGTCAGCTCCTTCCATATTTTATAAATACCATTTATATTTATTTAGCGGTAGACCAACTTCTCTGCACTCACAGGAACCCAGACAAGTGTCATAATTTAGGGATTCTGGAACCCATATAACCCAGATCAGGTCCTTCCTCCTCAGAATGGACCTTTCCAATACTGACTCTGGCCAGCATTAGATTTGCATTCAACACCCTTTTTGAAGGGACTAATTTGAATTCTGGCAGACACAATTTCCCAAGTTGACCAGATTGATTTCTTTGAAGATAAAAACTGTGTCTCATTTGCTGTTGTATCATAATATCATCCCTAAGAACTTAGCATGCTGCTGCACACATGAATCATATCCAAGAAAATACCCAAAAGAAATAAAAAGTTTAAGAGGAGGAAAAAAAAGAAGGAAGAGCTTGAATTCACTCTGTACATCCTTCTCTTCTCCAGGGTCTGTCTAAATCTAATGTTTATTTTCATGAAGGAAAAAACATGGCCAACTCCCAGTTGATATTCATTGCAAGTTTTCCTTCCTTATGATGACACTTTTCAATCAAAGAATAGCACCCAACCATCCACTCTCAAGACCCTTTATAGATACAAGAAGTTCCTTTTTTACATTTTGAAAAAAGTTTTATTTTGAAATTATTTCAAACTTACAGAAAAGTTGCAGGAATAGTACACAGGATTCCTATATTTCCAACCAGATTCCCCAAGTTTTAGTATTTTGCCACATCTACCTTATCTTCACCTTCTCTTTGGCTTGAAGGCTCTTAATGAATTATTTCCAGGGCCTCACTCATTTGTCTTATGCTTCCTTCCCAGCTGGATTTATTTATTTGTTTAGATTCCACTCCATCCCAACCCACCATCATCTGCAGAGCCAGGGGTGGGGGCAGGGAGATGGTCTGAAAGCTCCCCACCCCACAACCCCATGCCATGTAAAGTCAGGCACCAGCCAGCAACTTGTCCCTTCACATCAGATACAAGAGATGACTGACGCTCCGCATCAAACATTCAGTTATCAAAGAGCCCGCAAGAGGGGAGGGAACGTGGCATTGATGAATGACTGCAGCAGCACAGTATTATTCGAATAAGTCAGCAAGCTCTCCATAGGCCTGCACCGGCAAGCTGCAGCAAAGAGCCAGTCTGCTTCTGATGACTTCAAAAATGATTCTGCTTATCAACAGAACCCTGAGCACACCATAATATCAATCACAGCCTTAACTTAGAGACCTGGTTAAGAGGTAGACCCTCTATGTCTGGTACTACCAATAGCAAGGTGGGTGATTATTATGATAGAGAATGCAAAAAGTCCCTTTCTCTCTAGGTAGATATGTAGGTGGGAGAGAAGGGAGGGAGGAGGATGGAATGATGGATGGCTAGACAGATGAACAGATAGATACAGGTGAGCTAGATAGACAGATATAGATAGGTAGGTAGATAGATGTGAGATATATAAATTGACAAATAGATAATAGACAGGTAGATAGATAAATATATAGATAGATAAAGGTGAAATACATAGAATTACAGATAGAGATGATAGGTAGGTAGGTAGGTCGATAGATACACATGAGACAGGTAAATAGATATACACATAATAGGAAGGTAGATAGATGATAGATATATAACAAATATAGATGATAGATATATAGGTAGGTAGATAAATAGATATGCAATTAATAGAAAGACAGATAGATGATAAATGAGTAGATAGATAGATGATAAATAGATAGACAGATTTTTAAACTCAGACTTCATCTCTAGGAATGTCATAAAAGCTACTGCGTACTTTTTAGTCTTATTTCCCAGGTGTCAAAATTAAGGAACTATAACTTGAAGGGACTTGTTCATGGCCACCAACAGAAATGGAGATATAATTATAACTCATAGATGAATTATCATTTTTCTAGAGCAGTAGTTCTCAACTACAAGGTGATTTCTGCTCCCCCGCACCCCCACCCCCAGAGATATGTGGCAAGTCCTAGAGACAGTTTTGGGCTCCTCGGGTGACTCGAGGATACAGGGGACTCAGGTGTGATCCCTAGGTCAGGAAGATCCCCTGGAGAAGGAAGTGGCAACTCATTCCAGTGTTCTTGCCTGGAGAATCCCATGGAGAGAGGAGCTCTGAGGGCCACCGCCCATGGGGTCGCCAAGAGTTGGACACGACCTAGTGACTATACAACAACAAGAGACAGTTTTGTTCCTGACTGAGGGGTCAAAGTGGTGGGTGTCACCAGCACCTTGGGCAGTGAGGTCAGGGATCCTACTAAACATCCTACAATGCACGAGGCAAGCCACCACAACTAAGAATTATCTGGTCGAATGCCAATAGTACCAATGTTCAGAAAGCCTTTTCTAGAAATGCAGTCAGTAAATGGCACCCCACTGTCCCTATTGTTCACACATTTGCCTACGGCTGCTTTTGTGCTACAACAGCAAAGCTGAGTCATTGTGACAGAGGCCGAAAAGTCCACGAAGCCTACAGCAATGATCATTTGACCTCCCCTAGAAAGTTTGCTGACCTCCACTCTATAGCACAGGTTATCAGTGACAGAGACCAAAAGGCACCACTTCCCTGCTGGTTAGGATGTTCACAACACAACCCAAGGGAACACAGCTCACTTCAACTCAAAGGTAAGTGGAGTTGCACAACACAGTGGTACTGTGTGTACAGAGTGAGTAGAAGAGGCTAACTTACAAAGGTACTGAAGATCTACCAGAAAGATCTCCATGGTCTCTTTGCCTGAACATCATTCACACTTATTAAATACACCAACCAGGAGTGTCTACCTGAGGCTCATCCTGATGGAATACTAGTGCCTAATAACAGATAGCTTCTGATGTGGCAATAAGACTGTATAGGACCTACCAAGATGAAAATGACAACAGTAGCCATCATTAACTGAGCATCAGTACCTGCCNCCAGGCTCTGAGAAAGCCCACAGTGTCCCACATGGACAGATCATATGAAAAGACCATGTTAGGTACTCAGGCCAATTGCCTAGCTGAGGTCTTGACCCCAAGTGCCGTATGTGTGATGATGCCTCTCTGATACCAGTTCCCAGCTCTTGAATCACCCCAGGCTAAAATTTATCCCCAGTCTCCAAGTCTTTTTAGCTGAGGCCCCAGACATCCTGAAACAAACAAGCCACACTACTGTTCCTTGTCCAGATTCCAAATTATGAACATGACAAAATGGTTGTTTTATGACACTAAGTTTTGGAGTTATGAACAATAGTAACCAGAACAGTGTAGTATAAGTTTTCTATCTTTTGTTCACCTTTGTACATCTTTATTTTTGAGTGTGTCTCTAGTAAAAAGTATGTAGGCTTGTAAAAAAATTGAGTCTGACAATTTTTGTTTTTTAATTGAAGTATTTAGTCTGATCTGCTGCACTTAGTCACTTAGTTGTGTCTGACTCTTTGCAACCCCATGGACTGCAGCCTACCAGCCTCCTCGGTCCATGGGATTGTCCAGGCAAGAGTACTGGAGTGGGGCGCCATTGCCTTCTCCTGTACTGTGGGGGTAGTAAATAGCAAAAGTTTAATTTCAATTCCATCCTTAGGGCAAATTCATTCTAGAACCAGTCTGCACAGTTGAGGGACTCCATCATGGGACTGGAAATAGATTTTCTTTTTAATCAGGTGAGATGACTACACAGTCATTCCATCAGTTCAGTTCAGTTCAGTTCAGTTTCTCAGTTGTGTCCAACCCTTTGAGACCCCATGAACTGCAGCACACCAAGCTTCCCCGTTCATCACCAACTCCTGGAGCTTGCTCAAACTCATGTCCATCAAGTCAGTGATGCAAACTGGCAACAGTTAATAATAAAGGACAAAATTAATGAGCGTGGTGCTATGAAAAATTTGCCTTTTCATTCATCTCTCTAATTAGCTTATTAGATAATCATGGTTAATCTGTAAAAAAAAAAAAACTGATTCTTTCATCCACATTCCTCTGAAATATTATCCAAATGCAAAAATTCATCATAAAGCTTATAGCTATGAGCAAAATGAGTACAGAACAACTACCCACACATTGTGTATGTGCTTAGTCACTCAGTTGTGTCTGACTCTTGTGTCTGACTCTTTGTGACCTCATGAACTGCAGCCTGCCAGACTTCTCTGTCGAAGGGATTCTCTAGGCAAGAACACTGAAGTGGGTTGCCATTTCCTCCTCCAGGGGATCTTCCCAACCCAGGGATCATACCTGCATCTCCTGCATTGGCAGGTGGACTCTTTAGCATTGAGCCACAGGAAGATCTGTATATCCACATATTTACCTTCAGTTAGAACACATGGAGTTTCAGAGGTGATGATCCCAGGAACTGGAAAAGAATAAGCGCTGCTGGTTGTGACCAAGGGAAGTGGACTCTTAGGGTAGCATTGTCTCAGGATCTGAAGAACAATGGAGATGACAGGCTCCAGACTTTGGTCATCCAGGCAGTTCTAAACAAAGAGAATATCCTATCAGACACCACCATCTTGTCCAGAGCCCCTTTGCTATAATGGTATTTTAGGTAATGAACTACACACAACCTAAATGCACAGTAAGTATCTTTAAGGTATACCATCTAATCTGAACATTCTAATGTAGCATTTTGTCTAATGTAGAATCTGCTTTGGTCCAGTCTATCATCTACATTTTTATTTCTCTTTTACAGCTCATATATTACTGGGGTGAATTTAATTTGAAAATAGACTTGAAAGATTTTCAAGGGAGGCTGCACCTAAGGTAAGTTATTGTCTAGAAGAGCTGATGGAAGGAAAGGAAATGACATCTTCCTTCAACCATCCATGTGTCACTGTGAATTATCCCCTAAATTAGAGAATGAGCAGCTGAACTGATAGAAGTTTTACTGTTCTCTTTCAGCTATTATCTGAGGGGAAAATATCAAGGAAGATGTAAAATATGAAATCAGAAGAAAGATTAAGAGAATCCCAAGCACCTGAATTAAATAGCATGCTTCTTCTCAAAGCCCACAGTGTCAATCCCTCTTGGTAGCTACACAAAGCAAAGAAAATTTGAGTTTGCAAGAGGTAACATTTTGATACTGATGGAACATGACAAGATCCTGCTTTTCAGGCGCTGTAAGAAATGTAAGAACAAGTATACTAAACTGAGAGAGAGAAAGGGAGTTGGGAGTGGTCAGGATCTCTTTGGCAAAAGCATGACCATTTTCTTCAGTCTCTTAGTAACATTTTGTCTCCTGATTTGGTACAGAGAGTTGATTAATGCAAGCCTCCAGTGTGACATTCTTAAAGGACCCCTAGTAAGCTCTGAGGCCAATAAGTCATAGCAGGAGATATGGAGGATGCTTTAGAATATGCCACAGGGCAGGGACTGTCTACAATGATGCCCTGCATGGTACCTTCAGGCCCACATTATAGGAAGCCCCACAGGAAAGAACATGGAGGGAAAAAAGTTAATAAAATTTAAGCCATGAATTTAAGCTACCCAAATGACTTCAGAGTAAAATAAAAGTAAGCCAACTTTCAAAACATAAATTTCTTAATACAATCAAGAATGACTGGGACTTCCCTAGTGGTCCAATGGGTAAGACTTCACCTTCCAATGCAGGAGATGTGGGTTCAGTCCCTGGTCAGAGAGCTAAGATCCCACATGCTTTGCAATCAAAAAACCAAAACATAAAAGCAATGAAGTCAATATTGTAACAAACTCAGTAAAGACTTTAAAATTGGTCCACATCAAAAAGAAAAAAGAATGCTATCTCTCTTCAATGTGCTCAAATAATACAAGTCAGGTAACCTGAACCAACAACAGGAAACACTTTCCATGGAAAATAAATTAGTTGAGGCTATTTCGCCACCAAAAGTAAGACTTAGTTACTCAGTCATGTCTGACTCTTTGCGACTGCAGTCCACCAGGCTCCTCTGTCCATGGACTTCTCCAGGCCAGAATACTGGAGTGGGTAGCCTTTCCCTTCTCCAGGGGATCTTCCCAACCCAGGGATCAATGGGCTGCCCTCAAATCCAACTTCTGACTATAGTCTGAAATATCATCAATCTATAGGGTGGAATTGAGACACTAATGACCTTTAATTGCAAAGAGCCTGGCTATCCTTGATCTTCTCTTCTTGAACTTTGGCTTTTATCTGCATCTCTCTTACTGGGACTGGCAGCACTGNCTTTGTGACCTCAGGGACTGTAACCAGCCAGGCTCCTCCATCCATGGTATTTTCCAGGCAAGAACCCTGGAGAGGGTTACCATTTCCTACTCCAAATGCAACCATACTCCAATAAAAATTAATTAAAAAAATAAAGATGATGCTTGAGTCCAAGTTATTATAATAGAAATGCCTAGATGGCAACCCACTCCAGTATTGTTGCCTGGAGAATCCCAGGGACAGAGGAGCCTGGTGGGCTGCCGTCTATGGGGTCGCACAGAGTCAGACACAACTGAAGCGACTTAGCAGCAGCAGCAGCAGATCCTTCGCCAACATTTTCCTAGTCTTAATGCATCATGATCAAGACCCAGGTGAGGCAAGAAACGGCTCAGGACACAAAATTTAAGTGGGCATGCACCCTTTGGCTCCTTCCAATGCAGGGTAGGTGCTTGTGTTGTGTACAATCAGATGATAAGACTCCAAGATATAGGATCTCTGTGGACAAATATCTCAGAACTGGGGCAAAGGTGACATCTATAGGCTCAGTCTTCCCATAACTCCAAATCATCCACCTGCTACTTGAAAAAGATGATGAAATACAAGAATGCTTAAAACATTCAACTCACATTTAATATCATTGAGTCAGCTGTGGGATGATAAAGATCTTACTTTCATAATACGTAAGTGAAATAGCGTATAGCACACAGCTCAGATCAGAGCAAGGTCACCTGAATTCAGATCCTTGACTGCACCCCAGTGTTCACTGCAGCACTCTTTACAATAGCCAAGACATGGAGGTAACCTAAATGCCCATCGACGGAGGAATGGATAAAGAAGATGTGGTGCATGTGCCTAATGGAGTATTTCTCAGCCATAAACAGAATGAAATAATGCCACTTGCAGCCACATGAATGGACCTAGAGAGTATCATACTGAGTGAAGTAAGTCAGAGAAGGAGAAATATTGTATGACATCCCTTACATGTGGAATCTAAAAAGAAATGATACAAATGAACTTATTTACCAAACAGAAAGAGGCTCACAGACTTAGAGAATGAACTTACAGTGGCCGGGGGCGTTCCTGGTAAGTTACTACATACAAATTCTCTTTACAGCTTCCTTATCTGTAAAGAGGAGATACTTTCAGAACCTCTCTCATAAGACTGTGTCTGAATTAAATGAGTTATACGTAAGATGAGTGCCTAATAGTAAACACTCGGTAAGTGAGCTAGGAGGATGCCAGGAGGCATCATTAGGTTCATAAAATCTCATAAGAATCTGAAAAGATCTTAGGAGACCACTGCTAACTCACGGCGGAGTCCTAGAAACAATCCTCACAATAACAAAATGAGATGTTCTAGTGAAAGAGGCGCTCAAGGAAGAAACGGCCCTGGGTTTAAGCTCCAGATCTGCTTTTCACTGGGCTTCCATGGTGGTTCATTGGTAATGAAAGCACCTGCAATGCAGGAGGCACAGGTTCGATCCCTGGGTTGGGAAGATCCCCTGGAGAAGGAGACAGAAACCCACTCCAGTATTCTTGCCTGTTGGAAATCCCATGGACAGAGGAGCCTGGTGCACTATAGTTCACAGGGTCACAAGCAGACTTAGTGACTAAATAACAACTGCTTCTCACCAGCCAAAGCCATCAGCATCTCCTGCCTCGACGCTCATGGTCTGACTTCTCTGCTTCCCTCCTAACTCCTCCTCCTCTCACGCCCTGGGATACTCCTCGGCAGTGGCAGCCAGCATGATCCTTGACAAGTTGAAATCAGTTTGAAAGGAAGCAGAGTTTCAGTTTTGCAGCATGAAATGAGCTTTGGAGATTGGTTATACAAGAGTGTAAGGTACTCAACACTACTGGAATATACGGTGAAAACTGGCTAAGATGGTCAACTTCATGTTAAATGACTTTTACCACAATTAATTTTTTTTTAATTTTTAAAAAAATGCTTATTTATTTTTATTTATTTGTTTCTTAGTTGAGACACGTGGGATCTAGTTCCCTGACCAGGGATCGAACCCAGGCCCTCTGCATTAGGAGCTTGGAGTCAGCCACTAGACCAACATGGAAGTCCCTAATTTAAAAAAAAAAAAAAATTTAAGCATAAATCCTATTAAGTCACTCCCCTGCTTCACATCTGAGAGAAATGAAATCTGAATTCCTTTCCATGGTCTAGAAGGTTCTACATGATCTGGTCTTCCCAAACTCTCCAAATCTGTCTTTTCCCCTTCTCTGTACCTGCTTAAAATCTGATGGAAATAATATGTATTTTTATTTTTAATGTATTTAATTTATATTTAATGTATTTAATCTGATGGAATAAGATGTATTTTTTATCATGGTTCAGGGTGCTCCAGACACTCTGGTCCTGCCTATGTCTCCAACTTCACCTCACTTCTTTCCTCTCCTCCTCCCCATGCTTCTGCCCTACCCACAACCCCAGCACCTGAGGGACGGCCCGTTCGCCTTTTTTATCCTCACTCTGGAGCCCTCATGGTCAGATCTTCACTTTCCTGTCATTCAGATTTCAGGCTCTGAGGATCGCTCTTTCACACCAGGCTTAGAGTGGTCCCTCTCCTTCCTCCCTCTCTAGAAACTTTTCAAACATAATTGGCAAATTCTAAAGCCCAGAAGCTTCAATTCAGGCTTGTCTTACATAGAAAAACCTTTGGGTTAGGACTTTCTGGCTCATCCTTGCCTAGGTCTTTCCTTCTTGCCTGACTCTCCAAAATGTCTTAGTGGTTTCTCAAGGTGGACACTGCATTCCTATCCCCTCTGTACCTCCTGGCTGGCTCCCTTGCACTTTCACGCACAAACCAAGTTTCTCAAGGTGTTCTGGCCATGACTTCCTTCTCAAAGCCTTCTCTGGTCAGCCAAGACCAAACAGAACTCTCCTTCCTCTGCAGAGCTTGGCCATTTCCACTCTGGCATCCCACCTGCTGCCTTTACACTTTCAATTAATTCTATTGGAGTATAGTTGCTTTACAATGTTATGTTAGTTTCTGCTGTATAGTAAAGTGTATCAGCCATACATATATATTGCTGTTTAGTCGCTAAATCGTGTCCAATTCTTCTGCGACCCTATGGACTATAGCCCGCCAGGCTCCTCTGACCATGTAATTTCCCAAGCAAGAATACTGGAGTGGGTTGCCATTTTCTTCTCCAGGGGATCTTCCCAACCTAGGGATTAAACCAATATCTCCTGCATTGCAGATGTATTTTTTACCATTGAGCCACCGAGAAAGCCCCACATATACGTGTATCTCTTCTTTCTGCCCATTCAGATCACGATGGTGTGTTAAGCAGAGTTCCCTGTGCTAT